GTTTTTTCTTTTTTTTTTTTTTTTTTATGAAAGAAGAAAAGAAAGAGACATGTAAGTTTGCAAGATATGTGTAATATCTGGCATGTGGAGGGTGAAGATGGCTTGGTTCTGATGAAATGTCTTTTGTTTGACAAATTGCAGACTACCATTGGGCTACCATTGGGCTGCTCCAAACTCTATCTTTTCAGTAAAACATGCTTGGACAGGTTTGCCCACATCTGTTGAAAGGAAACATTTTATTCCCAATAATTTTTATCTATTTTTCATATTGCAAGAGGGACTATTTTTGTAGACTAGCTTTTTTTACTTTGCTGGGTGTCAAACTTCTTCATTTGCATAGAGATGGGGTGAGTTAAGAATCTGCTATTGTCAATGGATACTTTTGAAGCTGGGATCAGAGCACCAGTTAGTCAGATATGCAGTCTCTCAGCAAAAAAACAGTTATCAGTGTCTCTGGTTATTAGATAACTTGGTGACCTGATATTTCTTCTTTTAACAGCAGCAGTGTTGTGATATTCTGCTTTCTAAACTGGGGAATGTTAAAAATGGGTGTAAGAAAACGGAGATTGCAGTATTTCTTTCGGAGGGCAATCTCCTTTCTTTGATTAACAAATACCTGCTGAAAAAACTAGTGACATTTCTAATGAAATGTGAATGTTGCCTAATTGAACTACATCCCAAATCCGTGTGACACTCCATATCTTTTCAGTTCATGGCTAGCACCAAGTTCTCCAGAGAGGGCAAAAATAACTTTGGGGAAGATTGGTGTCTTAGCTAGCAGTTAAAAGCTAGCTAAGACCTAAAACACGTTTTAACTTTTTCCTTTTATCTGTCCTAGTAACTTGAATTAATTCTCCAGACTCATCTTAATGTTTGATTGTAGATCAGGCAAAATACAAACTGGTAAATCTTTCTATCACCAGAAAACATATAGTGGTTCTTGGACAGAAACAGAGCTTTCCTGCTCCAAGGATATTAGGGTAAATGTCCCCCTTACTTCCCTGAGAGTAGGAACCCATAGTGAGGCTTCAGTAGGTAGAAAATTTTGCTTTAAAACAAATTTATTGAATTGAGGATGCATTCTCATAATGGGGTTAAACATGAACATACTCTTGTGCTGATCAAACTCTGGGGCATGTGTGCTAAAACCAGCTCTAATAAGTTGTTCTTCTCTGAAGGACAAAGTTCCCCCTTCCATACCTAACAAAGTAAATGATGGCCCTTTCTTCTGTATTGTCATATATTAAACTGAAATAATAATTACTTGTTGCAGTAGGAATGTCAAAGATCTTGCCTGGTTATGTCCATTTGGCAGAGAGCACCTTTGTTTATGCCAGGCTCAGAGAAATGACTGAACTCATATCTTTTGATTGAACATTTTGCACACCAGAGTTTTCCTAGGACAGCATAAATCATCCAGAAAATAGTAACGTTATGCTAAGATACAAATCATCATATAATAAAACTGTCTGTCTCAATTTTTTTTTCAATTTACTTGATCAAGTTCTGATTTTGTCAGCTAATGTTCTGTTCTCAGACTTTGAGGCATTTGAGTCCTTGTATGACAGGTGATCTTAGCAAAAAGCTTTTTACTGATATGAGATTTGCTTGATAAAATCTCACTTTGTGATCAGATTTTATTTTTTATTTAATTTAAAACTGCTATTTTTATTCTTGGTGCTAAACTGGTTCTGGGAATCTTTGAATCCAACTAAGTTACTCAACTAAGAGAACTAAGTTACTCTTCAGCTGTAGGTTTTGACACTTGATGGTTTCTAACTTTGTTTGTGGGCAGTTTGTGGTGAATAAATGTTTGAATGCCATCCTCTTGCAATTCTGCTGGCTTCTGAACCTAACTTTGATGCTCTGGAAAGATAAATCAGTGGCCAGGTCATGTTTCTGCCTGATAAACAGACAAAGACCTCAAGAAGGGCATTACTTGGATACATAGAGACTAGGTGACCCAGTCTAGTGATGTTTTGGGCTGCTGGCACCACAAACATGAAATTCCCAAACTTGACCCTGACTGGATACACACTTTATTAGTCATTCTGTTGTAGCTGTCAGCTCCTGAGACAGTCAGGAAATCTCTTTGCAAGGCTGAAACCAGCCCAAGTGAGTTTTGGGGTAGGAGGAATGGGGGTAAGATTTGAAGAATGTGCAAAGAAAGTATCCTTTCTTGATGTCATTTTGTCGTAAGTAGAAACAGATGTCTGGGTAAAGACTGTCTATTTTAAATCTTGCAAACAGGGATTTTACTTTGAACTTTTCAGGAAAAAGCAGAGAACCACTGATAGTTTTTACACCAAGGAAAAAAAATTGGTTTTTAGTTTCAGATCCCCAAAGCCATCACACATCAATAGCTGGGAATCACTGTTATTGCAGAACCTTATACCAGGGTAAGGAAGCTTGTCATTTTGGCACAGAAAGACCTCTCATATCCCTCTCCAGCTTCCTTCCTGCATTGTTTCTATAAACCAAGGAGGAACTGACCCTCCATACAGTCCACCTTGAGCTGCTCATTGCCCCTCCCTGCTTCCTCTCTGCCTCCCCACATTGTGATGATGCTTTTTTTTTCCTTATGATTTGTCTCTGATCACTGTGATATAGGGACTTGATGCTTTATGGATCAGTGGGAGATGTATGTGAATAGGCACTCTGACATTCCCTGTGCTGCTATAAAGAGTCAGCCTGAATCAGACTGAGCATAAAAGGAAACTCTTACAATCTGGGACTCCTCTCCTCTTCTGAAGATGGATTTCTGAAAATGGACTTTTTAAAAAATGTTTTTTACAACAAAGTAGCAGCTTGGTGATGCAGTCCAAGCTGACACCCGAAATTCTGGTAAAATTTGTCCACATAATGCCTCAGGTTTTGGACAGTAGTATATAACAGTTTACTAGTAGTTTGTGAGCAGAAGCCCTAAGATATTTCTGAGAAAAAAAAAATGTATATTTGTATGGCCAAATAAGGCAAATGAATGCATCTTTTTGTTGCTGTAAATTGTGGAAAAATTGCTGTGATATTTGGGAACTGGTGAATATATTGCCTTGGACCGTCATTACAGGCAGTCAGGAGAGAGGAATGTGCAGGCAGCAGGAAATATCCACTGTTGTGTAAACCTAGCTGCCCTAGCTGTCCTGCTTGGCCTCAGGCATGAGTGGTGAGTGATGCTCTGAGGAGTTAAATGCTAAGTTGCAATAGCAAAATCTACTGGCCATGGATTTCACGCCGTGCTTCAGGCTGCTGGATTCCCTGTCAGCTGTAAAGGCATTCCAAGCCCTAGAGGTTTCATGGGCAGGTCTTCACTGCTCCACGGCAAGAGTTCCTTGGGAAAACAGGAGGGAAGCGTGGTGACCTCAGGCATTGCAAATGACCAATGGTCTTGAGCTTTGTATGTTGTAGGCAGCAAGGGGCAACTATGTCGACCATGGCTCTCTCAGTGACAACCACAGCCTAGGCAAGCTAGCCCCTTGCTCACTGCAGACTGATGATTTCATCTCTTCTTTCTGTCTTGCTCATTTTCTCAGGCTTCAGCTCTTTGTAGCCAGATCTCTGGAGTTTTTTTACACTATCTTAGGATTCTTTTAAAATGTCTCTATTCCCCCAAACCAAAATTGTCCAATTATCCTAGAAAGAAAGCCTCTCTAAACATGCCCATCAAGATGAATCTATCACACAGAAAAATAAATTTCAAGTAGGATGGATGCACATACCCTTGGGTAGAATAAACTTCTATATTATTAGCTTGTGTTTCAAATGATAGGGTCAGAATGCATGCCGAGCCACTAAATAATTTGGTTTCTGGAAGCTCCTCTGGATTAGGACATAGTAATTCTAGTAGCTGTATATTATGTAATGTAAATACTGAAAAGCCAGCCCCACAGGATGGAAAATACCCCATGAGTTTATTGTGGCTTTTCTCCCTTTAATATTTGTTTTTCCTTTTGCTACTTAGAAGTACATGGAGTTCCTTTCCTTACTGAACTGAAAACAGAGAGTAATTGTGGTATTCTTTCAGGTGTTTGGAGATATAGTTAAGGGCTGTAAGGGGCTGTTTTCTTCTTCCTCAGTGCAGCCACCACTTCGCATTTCTGTCCAAGCAAAATGGAAAATACAACACAGACTATTCCAAAATCTGAAAAAGATTTTTTTCCCTCCCAATAACTGCAGTTTTATTAAAAGATCAGTTTACATGCTGCTACATTTATTAGAACTTTGACTCCTAGCCCCATAAAACTACATGAAAAAACATGGCAGTCAGACCACAGGCACATCTACCTTCTGAAAAAGTAGAGCTGTGCTTGGGTATGTGGAAATTGTTTGGCAACACATAAGAAAACCAGAAACTGCCATTGTGCAAGCTGATGGTTTTCTTGGCATATAGGTGCCCTCCAGACAGGATGGTTTTATGGTATAGTCTTGAGCAGTGATTCAGTGTGGGAATTCTTCATGATGTTTTTTTATAGCTTTATATCTCTGCCTTTCAGCAAGTCGCGTCCATAGATCTCCAGTCTGGAACCGCAAAGCAAATATCACACATTAAGCACCACCTGAGAAAAGTCTGACCAAAAAGTCTGGATGTGTCCCCCAGCCACACTGGGGAAAAGAAGAGATCGAGTCTGGCTCTGTGGCACCATTCATTGGCCTTAGCCATGAGCTCACTGTCTCCTTACATCTCCTGACTATAAAAAAGAGGCAAGCATGGTCCCCTACAGACAATTCCCCTCCCACACCCTCTTGACTTCTCTCAAGGGAGAATATTTGTTCATTTAAAGGCATGTTGTGAATTAGGAGGCATAGATAACCTCTCCAACTTTTACCAATTTTGGAGAGCTCAGAGCTGGATCTACAGTATAAGATAGGGTTTAGATTATATATTAATAAAGTAATGTAAGTACTGGATGCACTTTGCATGTATACATTCAGTTTATTTAATCTTTAATCAAATTGAAAACCAGAATATGGACACACATGCATAGTCATCATTCGGCACTTACCTTTGTCACTTGCCACAGGCTCCATCCTCAGTAAATCTCCATGAATTTCCACTTGTCCCAGTCTGATACTAGCTTCTCCCAGCTTCTCAGTACTGCTGTTGAAGCCTGGTCATTCCCATTTCCCCATCTTAACTTCCCAGGACAGCCACAGCAGATATAAGTGTTTCAACTGTTTTCATATCCTATTGCCTCACTGTATCATCTATCACCCCCATTTTCAGTTTTACTTTCATTCATTCAGCTCTTCTGTTAATTTAATTCCTTTCTCTTCATCCTCCCTCCCAGAGCACACACCCGTAACATGATCCTCACGCTGTTCTTAGCTGTGTTCCCATGTCCTTTTCTCCCACACCTCCAGTTCTCTTGCTCCTCAGATCCATCCTCTTTGCAACCTCAGCTTGTATCACGGCCTGATGAGGATCCTTAGTGAAAAATGAAAAAGCATAAGGAATGACTGATGTGCCAGGGCTCAGCAGGGAGCTGTGTGGAGCTGTGCCTGCCTCACTAGATGGCACTGCAGAATAGCCTGGCAGCGGCTCCGGGGGCTTTGATAGTGAGAGGCTCCAGGAAGGCTTTGCCTGTGGTGGGGCAGCACACAGTTGAATCCACAAAAGGGCCTGGCTGGAGTCTGAGCAGCTTAAGCTGCTGCACGGGTGGAGGTGTGTCTAGGAGCAGGGAGAAGGTTTCTATCATCCCAAACTGAAATTTGAAAGAGAAATTTCCAAAAGGTTTTCCAACTTAAAGAGCTGACAACCCTAAAAGAGGACAAACAAGCGTCTGAGGGTGTTTGTGGTCAAGAAAGGTGCGGAGAACCCTGATAATGATCTTCACATTCTGACTACAGGAAATAATGCATTATGGGCTCTTACAAGCACTTATTACATGTCTTGTATTCCACATCCTCCTGTTGAGAGATCAGTGAGCCAAAGACCTCTCCCAGATTTCTTTTTTGTGGAACTGAGAATGAATTCAACTTAGAAGAGAGAGAGATGGAGAGATTACATATGTTTAGACTGAAACTGAGCCAGCAAATAGGAAACATCTGTCCCCAGGGACTGAGAGGGGGCACAAAGTATTTCCCAAATACTCCAAACACTCCAAACACATAACTCAAGGCGCAGTATCTGTTTGAGTCCTTAACAGGTGAGAAAACCTGTGCATCTCCACAGGATCCCACGTTGTTCCCACAGAGGGGAACAAACAAAGGAGACAATGGAGAGAGGTATTTTTATTTATTTTCTTATTGATCCTTTGTTGGAAAGTCAGGAATGAGCATCAGCTCCCTCCTTGGTGGCCTGATCATCTGGCTCATCTATCAGTGTGCTGCAAAGCTGCTACAAAAAAATGCATTTATTCTTCCACAGTCAGGCTCATATTTTGGCTCCATGGCTGTGAATCCACTGCCATTCTCAGTCCAAACATACAGAGCACTACATAAAGTGACCCATATTTAGTGGCAATGTGGGGGAGCTGATATCATAGCCTGACAATATTTGAAATGACCTGCATTCAACACAGCCTGTGAGTTGGGCTGGTTTCGGGCAGAGGAGATGGCTTCATCAGTAGTATGAACTGGGTGGGTGCTACCCTGGAATAAAACACTATCTGTGGCCTGTTTTTCTTCTGCTGGTTGGGATTCCTCATGTAGCAGCTTTGCTTAGGGACCTTCTAAGATGCCCTCTCTTGCCGACAGTGCCATGCAGGGAAGAACACAATAAATTAACTTTGCCTAGTTCTACAGTAAAGCCAGCATCAGCTTCTTTTCAGAATAAAAAGGACAGATTTTTTTTTCTGTTAACTGTAGTCATGCTAAAGCCTCCAGAGCTAGAGACTTCATCTGGCCTTCAGTCTTAATAATGCTGTGAACAAACACTCTGTGCTAGTAAAGACTTTCCCAGGTGCAGCTTTTCCTGGAAGTGTACCTAACCTGGGGAGTGAGCACTCATTCCCCAAACCTTGTTCACATCTCTGTAGGCATTGCAGCTGCCTCCTTCAGGGGGAGGTGGCAGTGGGAAGTGGTTCCTTCTTGCTCCTCTGTCTCTGGTCTAGCAGCTGGAGGCTGTTGGCTGGCCTGACAAGCCTTGCCTGGTCTGTGTGTGGTCGGTGTGCTGCCATGGGAGCCCCTGGCAGGACGGGGGGGGGGCATCCTCAGTGTGATGCTCTGCTGTAGATTGTTGCTTCATGACCTCCAATCCCAGACATGCCCATGTCCTGCCTTTCCCTGGTTCAAGTTAAGCTTCCCCAAAATGACATCACTGGCCTAAAAAACTTGAACTTCAAATAAACTCCCTTGGGTTTGCTTTACTGCCCTTTCATCTTTTGAAACTTAAGTTTTAACTACATCAAATTCTTCAGCTTTTCTCTAAAAGCAACTATTAGGGTGAAAAACTTTGTGGTAAAAATAAATTCACACCCTGTGTCTGTAAGGCTTGAAATAAGCACCAACATTTGTGACATGAAAGGAAAGTTCCTTAACTCAGAATAAAAGGTTATAATCTGGCAGAGTTATCACAGCAAGACTAACATGTGGCTGTTTTCATTCAGAAGCATAGATCCTGGTGCCCAGCAAACTCAAACTAAGCATTCCCAAAGCTGTGTAGATTTTCTGATGCTGAGACATCATTCTACGCTATGGATACATCAGCTGGTTTGTTGTGGGAGCCAAATCATTGCTGACCCTTTGTAGTGTGGCCAGAGAGTACGGGCCTGAGGTCTGGAACAATTGAAAGAGTCTCAGGTGATGCAGATAAGGCTGCTCTGGTGTTGTTCCTTTTTGTTTTGTTGAAATTCATTACCTTAGTTCAAAATATTAATTAATTAATATTAATTTAATAATTCATTTATCAGCTTTACTTTTTATTTCCCCACGGGCCATAAATATTCTAACATTATTTGAGGTAATGTTGTCAGTACAACATAGTAGCACATTCTAGGGGGGTTGCTGCTTGATTTTCCCTTGAGGGCTAAACCAGTCTAGCAGCATTTTGACTGCTATAGGCAGCATTATTTGCACTGTGTGCTCCTGTTCTTGAAGAGGCACAGTGGGAGAGTAAGCAGATAAACCTCCCTAGCTCGGGGGATTGAACAAGAATCTGATTGCCAAAGCATAGCTCTGTCTTCAGTTTGCAGCTTATTTCATGGGGTAAGTAATTTTTAACCTAGGCAAAGCCTTCATGGAAGACAGTGCACTTTCAGGTGTCATACAGAACCAACTGAGGACCAGAGAAGACATATCAACCAGCAGATTGATCAATATTTTCTTTTTATTCCCTGCAGAAAGTCAAGATGACTCACATGTTGCTCTGTATCTGTACAGCTGAGGTGGGCTTTTGTAGCAACCTGTAGAGAATACCAGGTGTTCGCAGCTTCTGAAGAAAGGATTTTATTTCCTCCTTTCACAGTGCCAAAATTGTGCTAGGCACGTACCACACTGCCTCAAGATTAATGAGGTTCATACCTGCTGTGCCTTCTTAGCCCAGTAACCTCCAGTTATTTCTCAGGGGTGAAATGGATACTTTTGGAATAAAAGAGAAAAAAAGTCTACTGAAAGGCTAATTCAGTACTGAGAAATTCAGATGTTCAGGGCAAAATAAAGGTAACTCCACATGAAGAAAATTCTGGGACATCTGGCAATCATCCATTGTGAGTTTTCATGATTGCTTGCCAAAAAATCACATAAGATGTGGTGCGGTGTTAGCATTAAAAAGAATGTCAGACGATCTGAACTCCACAAAACTGGCAGATGCACAGTGGGCTTGTCAGCAGAAATTAAAATGGAACTCCTTCTGATAGTGATGTAAAAACCAATTACTTAGGGCTCTTGTTCACTATATTTATTATTGTAGTAATGCTATATATGGAGCGTGACACAGGGTGTGGGCTCTCTTCTGTTCCGCTTCTTCACTGCTCAGGTTGTTTCTGTCTTTGCAGGGAATAAGGGTGCCATAACCCAGGCTGACACAAGTTCTTTCCACCAAGGAGCTTCAGGGCTCAGAAGCTCGTGGCTTGTTTGTCTGCAGGTCAGGAGCGCAGCCCTGGCCCTTCAACAGATGTGCTCCTGGAGTTCTCAGGTGCAAGTAGAGTCCCTGTCTGCCAATGCAGTGTAGTGTCAGCCTGTGAACAGCCATGCATTTCTCAATTAATTTCCAGATACTCCTTGCAAATGGTTTCAATTTTTCCTAGGTGTGCTTCTGAGAACAGCCAGCCCTGAACAGCTATATGATTAGAATATATTTACAAGGAAGAAGAGGAAGAAGTAAACATGTTGTTCTAAGCATTAGAAACAAAGAGGAGCAGCCTACCTCCTGAGAGATGCCTGACTCATGCTTTCACAGCTGTGAATAAATTTTTTTCCCAGCCTCTTTTGTATCACTGAAAAATCCCTCCTGCCTGTTAGGGAAAGGCTCAAGCTGAAGTTGGTCCCCACCTGATTCTCCTCACCAGCTAGATCCATCCAGAGCTGGCCCAGGATTCAAGCCAACATGTAGTATGCACAGCTTGATTTTGTAGGGAGTTCAGATTTCAATGTAAGCATAACACCTGTTTTAATGTAATGTGGCAGAGCACATGGAGTTCTCTCCCATGTGTGTTGAATATCAATATCAGTATTTTGTCTATACTGCTTATACTGCATGTATGCTTTTTACAGTAAGCCCTGATTGTGTATACTGACATAGATCTAGTGATGACTTTTTTCTTAGTGAGCAATACAGATTTTCCGTTTATAGAGGCAATAATTTACTGCCTGGTTTTTTTTTGGTTTTTTTTTTTTTTGTTTGTTTGTGGGTTTTTTTTTTTTTTTAAGGTACTCAAGAATTCCTTCATGTCTAGTTTGTCAGTCCATGGGGTCCTGCTTGACTCTCACCCTGTAATCAGAAAGCATGGCTGGGAGTGATGGGCTCGCAGGTGACAATTGGCAATAGATATTAGGGTTTGCAGGCTGCACAGGAAACACTCTTTTACTTCAGAGCAGCAGGAGAAAGCAGACAGACAGTCTCAGAACCCATGTCTCAAGTCCTGTATTTAATTTGTTATGCTGAGGTCAGGGAGTGATTTGTTGTTGCATATGAGATAATTATCAACAAGACAAGGAGGTAACGAAATGCAAAACAAAATTCCCAGTCCTAGAAATCTTATCACTTAGCTCACAAGCCAGACCTCATGGAATCCCCAGAAGGGGAAGCAGCTATACTGGCAGAAAGGAGCCTGTGTTCTTACATACCATTTTTATTTTCAAACATAAATAGACTGCAAAAGAATGAAAGCAATCAGCTCCACTGCTGTGACCAGCTTCTAGGCATGAACTCTTACCCGTGCTGTCTGCATCCAGCAGCCGTCATTCAGCTGCAGTGCTTTGCAGCAGGACTAGCAGAAATCACCCTTTGTACCCAGGGACCCCAAGTCAGGGCTCCTCCTCCAGAACTCTCTATGGAAACTGAGAGCTCTTCTCTCTGTCGCTGCCAGAAAGCCGGCTCTGAAAAACAGCATTCAC